TGAAAATACCAAGACTTGGATCAGGCGCACCGAGCCCTCAAACTTACATCTTTGCTCTTGAACCTTTAAAGATGTCTTGCGCAGATTTGTTTAATGCAATATGTCATTTGATTTCTTGATTGCTGCTTACATGAGTGTGGGTAGTGGATCCAAGCAAAATGAAGTCTTTTATAAAAGGACAAATATTGTATGAGACTACTGCTATAAGATGTTAAGATAGGTTTTCTGGTTAAAAGAAACATTCTATGATGGTTACCAGGGGTGGCTGGAAAGGGATAAATTATTCGGTGGCTAACGGATAGGTGCATGTTAAGTTGGGTGACAGGGAAGGCAATTTGCAACAAGAGGGAGGTTGGCAAAGGAAAGATGAAGGTAAGTAGAAGACACAGGGAGGAGCGCAAGAGTTACAGTGAACAGAGGTAAATACTATGAACTGATCATTGTAATGAAATGAAGTGTATGATTTGTTGCATGTGTGGCTGATGATCTACTCTGTAAAGCCTTCGCTCAATTCACAATAAAAAGTTTTTAAAAGAAAAAGAAATTAGAGTGCATCCTTCGCACCTGAGATCCCTACGTGGAACCTCCTTGATCCAGAAGACAGATGGAGATGGCAAGAGACGGTGAGAAGCAGGGACCTTGGCAGAGCCAGCAGAACCAGGAGATGGCTAGTGGGCTTTCTAGCCCATGGAGTAGGAGAGCCGAGTGCTTTTGGGCAGAGGTTTCCTTGCTGGCTGAGTGACGAAGACGTGCCTCTAAGCACTCAATGACAGAGCTAATAGAGCTTTGACACACTTGTTCAAGCAGTGCAGCAGTCAGGCTGAGGACATCCAGCATCAGACAGAGGCCTGTCTGCAGACATGACTGAGAAGAGGCTGCCTTGATTGAAGGACTGTATCCTGAGTTGTTCCTGAACCCTACTTGGAACCTGTTACTTACCTAATGAAACCCATAACTGTTAAGTATTGTCTGTGTGGCCCTCGAAATGAATTAGAGACCCCAACAAAGAAGTAGGGAGTGCCGTGGAAGGGACGGTTGGTGCCAGAACTGGTAAAAAGTTTGGAGGGTGGAGGCAGATCTGATCTCTGCTTCATAGGAATTGGCTTTAGGCAGCTGATTTTCCTCCCTGACCCCCTCTTGTGAAGTTGGAGGAGGTCAGATGACGCCAGTTTTACACCCAGTATCTTAGGATGCTCAGTCCCAGCAGCTGCCGGTTTTTACTGATCTCCATCACAGCTGGGTCTTTGTGAAGGCCTTATCCTGCCACTTTCCCCTGCTTTCTACACATGTATCAGAAAGTTTTCTGCATTTCTCTTTGTTTTCTTCCCTGTTCCATCACTTTTTTTTTTTTTAATGTTTTATTGTTAATTATGTGATAGTTTACATGGGAGAGCATTAGTTTTACATTCATCCTATCGTATCACTGCCATGGTTACAATCCCCTCCATGCATCATCAACCAACCAAAGGGTATACCCAGCAAACCTGCCCCCCTCTCCACCCCCCACAAGCCTGCCCCCTGTTATCAGCACACAGCCCTTCTCCCTCTCTGGGTCTAGAGTTCCCAGCTGCTCCATCTCTCCACGTCAGTCATCATCTCTGGCGTCACTGCTTCTCTGGGTAGGGTCCCGCTCTCCGCTCTTCTCCCTTGATGGCCCCAGGGATCTCCATTCCTGGACGGCAAAGTCAATCACTCCCCTCCTTTTGCTACAAAACGTCTACCTTTACATTTCCAACCCTCACAGTCAGTCCTGATAATAATTATTCACTATTGTATCACAATATTCCATTACTTTTATCTGCATAGCTTTGGGCCAGTAACTTTTGCCCCCTGTAAAATGGGATCATAATACCTGGGTGGCACTAACAGTTAAATGCTAGGCTATGGTGACAGTTAAGGTTTTGTGTCAACTTGGCTGGGATAGTAGTCTCAATGGTTTAGTAGTCAAGATGATGTCATTAAACCTCTCCCTTCTGCCATGATGTGACCCACTTTGCTCTAATGTAACTATGCTAGGTGTTGAAACTCCTCACTTCTATGATGGTAATCAGAGTCATAGTGCGGCACTTAGGGTAAGCATTTGATTATTAACCAGGTCAGCAGTTCAAACCCAATGGCTGCTCCTTGGAAACGCTACACAGGGCCGCTATGAGTTGGAACCAACACAATGGCACTTAACAACAACAAAAATGATGTTAATGAGGCCCGATGCAATCTACAAGACTAGGTTGTTTTCTGAGTCAATATCATTTGAGATATAAAAGAGATTAAACAAGCAAGCAGAGCCCAGAGGGACCTACTATCACCAAGAAGGAAGAACCAAGGTACATGAAGATCTTTAAGGAATGCTGGAGCTGCAGATGCTGAAAGTAGACACGGACCCTCCTCCAGAACCAAAGCTCTGAATTTGGACTTCTGTGAGAGAATACATATCTACTTGTTAACACCATCCACTGTGTTTTTTTCTTATAGCAGCACCAAGATAGGTAATAACTGGAAGGTTGGCTGAGTGAAGATCATTCGTTTATGTTCAACAAACCATCTCAGTTGTAGCCCCTTATGGCGCTGTGGGTTAATGCACTGGACTGCAAAATTGTTTTGAGCTGTAAGGTCAGCGGTTCAAGCTCACCAGTCACTCTTCAGAAATCCTATACAGGGTCGCTGTGGGCCAGAACCAGCTTGATGACACTTCGCAACAAATAACAAGAAGAATGTAATATTGCTTATCCCCCTTCCTCTCTGAGTTTCTTGTTTCCTTTCTTTCCCCTTCTGAATTTTGCCCTTAGGTAAATGCTGCCCTTTTGATCTTGATTGGTTAACCATTCTACGGTATCCTCCCCCACCCCTCCACCTCCCATATAGCTATCTGGAGTCTGGTGTAGAACTGCAGGATAATGCACTGGACTGAAATGTCAGTTTGAATCACAAGGTTGGCGGGTTCAAATCCACCAGTTGCTCCTTGGAAACCTTAATACAGGGTCGCTGTGGATCGGAACCAACTTGACAGCACTGAACAACAGCATATCTATTACTTGGCTGAAAATTGAGCCACAGAAGTGAATTCAATTCCAGACCTAAAGGGTGACCAAGAGCCATCGTCTCTGGGTTCTACCAGTTTTTATGTGACCAATAAACCTGGTCTTTTATTTTATGATTTTGAGTTTTGTTCCACGTTTTGCCCCACTCTATCCAGGACCTTCTAATGTGATCCCTTTCTGAGTATTTGGTAGTTGATTATCAGGCACTAACTAGTTCTTCTGGTCTCAGATCATGGAGACTGATATTCCTGAGGTCCACTAGTTCATTGGAGTCCTGGTATGACTGTAGTATAAGTCCTGGGTATTAACAACAGATCAGCTCTTCAAACCCACCAGGCACTCCTCAGAAACCCTATACAAGGTCTCTATGAGTTCGAATCAATTGAGGGGACACTTAACAACAACAACAACAACAACAACAACGCATGCTTCAAGGAGCCCTGGTGGTGGAAATCTTTCTAAATTAAAGGTTGTTTGTTTGAACTCACCAACTGCTCCATGGAGAAGAATGTGACAGATTTTCATAAAAATTACTGCCTTGGAAACCCGATGGACAGTTTGACTCTGTTCTATAAAGTGAGTCCAACTTGATAGCAATGTGTTTATGTATGTATCAAGGAGTCCTGGTGGTACAAACAGTTAATCACTTAGTTTTTAACAGAAAAAGTTGACAGTCCGAACCCACCTAAAACCTAGTGACCTGCTTCTTTGGAGATTACAGCCTAGGAAACCTTAGGAAGCATTTCTACTCAGTCACTATGAGTCAAAAATCAACTTGGAGGCACCTAACAACAAAGACAACATAGGTGTGTGTGTCTCTGGGTTTCTGTGTATGCATCTCTAGGTCAGCTCTCCTCTGCCTTTATTGCTAAATGTGTATTTCTTTCTGTGTCCCTGTCTCTTTAATATTTGTTTAATGTCTCTATTTGTGGATTTCTCTCCTTGCGTCTAGCATCTTGTTCTTCTGTCTCTAACCTGCTACGTGGGTTTCTCTCTGTCTTGGAGTCTCTGCCTTCATCTCTGCATCTGCATCTTTCATTCTTTCTGTATCCTCTCTATCTGTATTTCTTTCTCGGTCTTTATGTGTATTTCTGTGTTTATCTGTATCGCTCTCATTCAATTCTTCTCCCTTTCACTCCTGAGAGTCTTCCCGTCTCATTCTCTCTCCCTCCGCCATTTCTCCCAGAACCTCTGGCTCTTTTCCCTTCCCCACCCTCCTCAGTTCCGACCTCACCTCCAGCTCTTCCTAGCCTCCGCCTTCCTTTCTCTTCCTCCTTTCGGCCCCTCTCCAGGTCTCTGCCTCCCCCTCCTGGTCAGCGGCATTCACCGCACCCCAGGCTCCCAGGGGATCCCCTAGCCGGGTTAAGGCAGCCCCCGGCGGAGGACCGAGTGGAGCCCCGGCCAGGGGCTGTAAACACTAGGACACTTCCCAACCTGGGTCCCGCGAGCTAGGGACCTAGGATCCAAACTCAGCCGTGCTCATAGGGGCTTCAGAGGACTCTTAGAGCTCCACCTTAAGCGCTCCCCTCCCCCTTCTGCAGAGGATAAGGAACCGCCAGCTTTGGGCCCCAGGTGTCCGGGCCACCCCGCCCCCATGGCCCCAGCGTGAGGCTGGGAGCTGGGGACCACTAACCCAAAAGCACCCCCCTCCCCCGCCTTTTGAGCAGCCCCCTTTCCCCAGCCCCAGGAGTGTTCGCCGCTTTTCTGGAAGAGCCCCCACCCTGCTCCACCGCCCGCCAAAAAATAAAAAATTAAATAACACCCACCCAGAGAGAGCGAAGAGAGGAAGGGGGAGGAGAGAGGAAGGGCCGAGAGAGGAGACAGAAACTAAGAGAAGAGGAGGAGGTGGAGAGAGGGAAGCTGGAGACAGACCGGGAGACAGAGGAAGGGAGGAGGTGAAGAAGGAAAGAGGGGAGAGAGGGGGAGGGAGTGGGGAGCTGATGGAGACCTGGGGTTAGGTGGCTTGGGAGAGCTTAATGAAAAGAGAACCAGGAGGGGGGGGTGTGTGGATTCGACACCACGAGGTAACCCCGGGAAGAGGCAGAAGGTAGAGAGGGGTAGGCAGATCAGGAGGTGGAGGGACTCGGGAGGATTTGAAGGAAAGAGAAGGAAAAGGAGGCGAGACACAGAGAAGGAGCAAAAGAGTGGGTTGTGGGGAGGGGGAGGTGTCGCTATCCCAGGTCGCTTTGGGATTTGGGAAACTGGGAATCACTGTGGGCGAGTAGAAGAAGCTTGGATTCCTGGAGCGAGAGGGTCCCAAAAACAGGGGAGAGAGGAGCTGAGAGAAAAGGGGGCAGGGAATTGGGAAGGGGGTCCCTCGAAGGGCTCCCCGGGATGGGAGTTGCCGCTTGTCTGAGCGCCCCTCGAGCGCTGGTACTCTGGGCCGCACTAGGGGCGGCAGGTAAGACCTGGGGGTCGGGGCAGGAGCCCCTCAGGGCGGGCTGGAGGTGGGGATGCCCAGGGGGAGGGTTCAGGCTGCTGTCTTCGCAGCTCACATCGGACCAGTACCAGACCCCGAGGACTGGTGGAGCTACAAGGAAAATCTCCAGGGAAACTTCGTGCCAGGTGCAACCAGGGCGGGGACCCAGGACTCCGACACCCCCAGCTCCCCTCGGGGCGCCTCCTTCTTCAGACCCAAAAGTCTCAGTCCCCCGCCCCGACTCTTTCCCTAAAACCCAAGCATCCCAGCCCCCTCCTCCTTCCCTCTGGAGTCAGGGCCCAGTCTCTGAATCCCCGGGGCTCAGTATGGGACATTATACATGCGCATTTCAAGTAGCGAGTGGGAGTGAGTGGAAGGAAAGTGTGGGGGTGGAAGAGAGTGTGTGTTTGCAGGGAAAGAGGCCGCTCCTGACTTTTGCTGGGAACTGCAGGTTCAGTGGCCTCCGTTCCCACTTGTTCAGCCCTCTCTTGCATCTCCTCTCCCCAATACAGTCATTTTCCAGCTGTGGGACAAGAGATTGAAAGAACCACAACTCCCATGGGGCGCTGGGGCAAACAGGCAGTGGATGGGTAGGCTGGCAGACCTGGGGACTTCTGGGAGTTGTAGTTCTTTCTCCCAATGACATAATTTAAGATGAGGTGGATCCAGGCGAGGCGGGGAGGTCTTAGGGGTATTAGGATACTATTCCAAGATTCTTCTGGGAACCAGAATTCTGGACCCCAGCCTCTTCTTTCCTCAGACCTGGAGTCCAGACCTCAACCCTTCCTTCCCTTTTGCTCCAGGAGTCCAAACCATAATCCTCTCTCACTAAATCCCAGGATTGGGATTCTGCCCGTATTTCTGATTCCTCTTCCTCCCTGAATCCCCTGTCCCCAGGGCCTCCCTTCTGGGGCCTGGTTAATGCAGCCTGGAGTTTGTGTGCTGTGGGGAAACGGCAGAGCCCTGTGGATGTGGAGATGAAGAGGGTCCTTTATGATCCCTTTCTGCCCCCTTTGAGGCTCAGCACTGGCGGTGAGAAGGTAAGGCTTCTGGAGGGAGGAATTATCCAATGTCATGAGGGTGGGTATGAGTGGGGGCTAGGGCTGGGTGTGATGGCTGAGATGGGAAGCCAGCATTGGGGAGGAGAGAAGGCCTCCCACACTCTAAAATGGGTCACCTGTTCTTCCCTCCTCAAACATGGCTCCCCCAATCTTCATCACTTTAGAAGCAATAGTAAAATATTTCCCTTGTCGGGCACTATTTTTAAAGCTCGAAGATAAACCAGAAAAAAAATAAAAATAAAAGAAACAGCAGCTTGACAAACCTAACATGCAACACTCATAATCCCATGACAGAGCTGTTTTTATTATTCCTCTTTTATGGATACAGACATTGAAGCAGAGAGAGGTTGAGTTACTTGCCTGAACTACACAGCTAGAGTGCCATTTTGTGTTTCCAGTGAACCATGCCCTTCTTGGCAATACCATTTCTAGTAAGAGTCAGCGGCCACCAGCTTTCACTCAGACAAAAGCCTCACCATTCCTGATCCCCTTCCCTGCCTCCCTCCCAGTTCCCAATCTGTGTCCTTTCTAGCCTCTCCCAGTTGAATATTATTCAATTCCTTCTATATCTCATAGCTTCTGGTGGCTTCCTTGCTGGTCCGCCTCTTTGCCTCTTACAATCCATTCTCCATACCAGAGTCAGAAAGAAGCTTAAAAATGCAAATTCGATATACCACTCACCTGTTCAAAAATTCTATGTTAAGTGCCATCAAATTGGTTCTGACTCATAGCAACCCCGTATAGTTTCCAGAAAGCGGCTGATGGGTTTGAATCTCTGACCTTGCAATTAGCAGTCCAGTGCTTATCCTACAGGGCCACACCTACCAGCACCACTATTAGGATAAGTAATACCAGCAGTCAATTACACAGCACCTACTAATGCCTGACACTGTGCCAAGTGTGTTATTTATATTCAGGCTCTTTACAACTCACCCTGTATCTCTCAGGTCTCCATTCAGATGTCACTCTCCCTTCTAGCCTAAGTCTCCCATTGCATCTTCTCAGAGCTTCCTGGTGTCCTTCCCACATGAGCACAGGATAGGGTTGATTAAACTGCTATGTTTTATACTAATATATACTAATGTGACTGAATATTTACTGTTGCTCTCTTCCCCATTAGAAAGCTCCGTGGAGTCCAGTTCAGTTTACTTATTTGCTGCTTCATTCCTGGCATCCATGGTATAATGGCAACTCAGTAAATGTGTTAATTACATGAATCCAACCCATTGAGCACCTACCATAAGCCAAAAGCAGCCCTGGTGGTAGAGTGGTTAAGGCGTGACTGCTAACCAAAAGGTTGGCAATTCGAACCCATGAGCCGCTCTTCAGGTTAAAGATGTGCCAATCTGCTTCTGTAATGATCCCAGCCTTGGATACCCTATGGGGCCATTTTACTCTCCCCTTTTGGGTCATTATGAGTTGGAATAGATTGAGGGCAGTGGATTTTCTGGTTCTCCTGGGCCAGCACAATGCTTGGAAAACTAGTTGATACTTGAAACTATGGTGGATGACAAAATGATTGTAGGAAGAGTGGAAAATGGGCCGGAAAAGACGGGTGTTGCCATGACAGCCTCTGCCTCTCCCACAGCTTCGGGGGACCTTATATAACACGGGCCGCCATGTCTCCTTCCTGCCTGCGCCCCGGCCAGTGGTCAATGTGTCCGGGGGTCCCCTCCTCTATAGCCACCGACTCAGTGAACTGCGGCTGTTGTTTGGAGCACGGGATGGAGCTGGGTCGGAACACCAGATGAACCACCAAGGCTTCTCCGCTGAGGTGATGGCCACTGACCTGGACCTAGTTCCTCCCACTTCACCCCCTTCCTATGTCCTCCCTATCCTTCTGCACAAAGCTGGTCCCCCACTCTGAACACTGACCCTAATATGACCTGGAAGCCTCCTTTCTCCTGCTGGGGGAACCCTATTCTCTGTGTCCCCTCCCCTAGGTGCAGCTCATCCACTTCAATCAGGAACTCTATGGGAACCTCAGCGCGGCCTCCAGGGGCCCCAATGGCCTGGCCATTCTCAGTCTCTTTGTCAATGTGAGTCAGGCAGTATTCAGAGGGAGGAAAGGGCTGGTCACCTCGATCCCAGGGTCTGAGAGTGGACGGAAGACTAGGAGTCTAAATGCCTATGTTCTGGGACTCGAGGTCTAGGGATTTGGACTTTTGGTCTCCTGCCTCGTCCCCTTGTACCCCTAACACAGGTGGCTGGCAACTCAAACCCATTCCTCAGCCGCCTCCTCAACCGTGACACCATCACTCGTATTTCCTACAAAAGTGAGTCCTTGGTGTGTTGGGAAGGAGGATGCGCAGCAGATGGAGGTATCCAAGAGGGGCACCTCGCTTCACTCGGGCTGATGTTCCCACAGATGATGCATACTTTCTTCAAGACCTGAGTCTGGAGCTCCTCTTCCCAGAATCCTTCGGCTTCATCACCTACCAGGGCTCTCTCAGCACCCCGCCCTGCTCGGAGACTGTCACCTGGATTCTGATTGACCGAGCCCTTAATATAACCTCCCTCCAGGTGATCATCTAGCCCTGACCTGGGGATCCCCCAGCCTTCTCCTAAATCCTTTCTTTCCCTCTTGGGTTAGGAACCAGAACCCACAAAAGAGAATGTCCGAACAATCCGAGCTGGGGGTGTGGGGCTGAGTGATGCACCGCCCACTCACTCCCAAGGGCAGGGCTTCGTGACATCACCTGGGCGAGTTTTCCTAGTCACTCCCAGTTTCTCACCCTTCCGTGGTAGATGCACTCCCTGAGACTTCTGAGCCAGAATCCTCCATCCCAGATCTTCCAGAGCCTCAGCGGTAACGGCCGGCCACTGCAGCCCTTGGCCCACAGGGCCCTGAGGGGCAACAGGGACCCCCGGCACCCTGAGAGGCGCTGCCGAGGCCCCAACTACCGCCTGCATGGTATGGCCCAGTGTGCACCCCCCCTCCTCGTCTTGGTCTAACCCTCGTATGTGTCTCCCCATGGGGTCTCGGAAGCTGTCCTTCTCCCTCTGTGTCAACTTGGTACAGTCTTATCTCCCCGCCTTCCACCATTGGTGGTCCGTGATTTGTCTTTATGCTGCCTTTAACTCGATATATAACCCGAGCTCCCTGGTTTCCTTGTACAATTAACTACTGGCCCGTGGTACACTTAGTTCTTACCACTATGACTTAACAACATAGTACAGTCGGAACTCACTTCCCTGTTTCCTTGTGGTATAACCCGAATTTCATTGCCCGCACTCTGAGAATCAACTTGGTACAATCCTTTTTCCTTCCTATGGCTTCCTTGTGGTTTAGCCCTGTGACCTAATGCCACCTTTCTGGTTAACACGATACAGCCCAGTCCACCCCCCCACCCCACCCCCGAAAATACCTTCACGTAGTTCAACCTAGTGCTGAAAATGGATGCCCCTATTCTGCCCTGCTGCTGCTTCCTCTTGGTTTAGCCCAGTCACGGAGCTTTACAAAATGGTACATTCCAGCTCACCCTTCGCAGCCTCCAAGTGGTAGAGCTCTGCGCGGCCTTGCCCTCGCCCCCTGCAAGTCTTTTTAGTGTCCAACTAACGCCTATTCCTCCACGCTGGTGTCCTGTCTTTCAGTGGATGGTGTCCCCCATGGTCGCTGAGACTCCCCATCGAGGATTGCGCCTGCCTATCTCGTCTCAAGCCTCCCTACTAGGGAAGGGCAATCATCCCCAAAGCAGTTATTAAAAGAGACAGAATACTTCCTGTTTCTCAGTGGTCTGATTCTAGGCGCGGTGGAGACACACTTTGGGTATTAACCAACAGTCATGTAGAAACCAATCTCCTTTTCCTAAACCTCCACTATTCGGCTTTTTGGCTTTCAGTTCCCCAAAACATTCATTTGAACTTGCAGCTCCTTTAAGCGCGTCTTCTGCCGCCTACCACCACCACCCCCAACCTCAAGAGGCACGCGCCGAGCCATGTGCTTCCCCCACTCGCCTGCCTCATTGGCCCGAACTGGGTCACGGGCCCACCCCCCGCGCCTCATCCTATTGGGCAAATATAGGTCAGCGTCCCGCCTCCTTCCAAAAGGTACGGCAGCTTCACGCTCTGAACGCCCTCCTCACGCACACCCCACCTCTTGAACCGGGCCTTGACGAATTTAGGGCGTCCCATTGGCTGTGCGTCTTAAGAGAGCGAGACTCGATTGGCCTGCTCTCGCAGCGGAGGGAGGCACGCGGCTGTAGTCCCTAGCCAAAAAGGCGGGTGGGGCGGGGCGGGCGCGTGCTGGGGCCGGGAGGAGGGGCCCGCGCTGTGGCGTCGGGTGTTTTGGTTTTTTTTTTTTCCGCGAAAGAAGTTTGCTTTGGCCCCGCCTCAAGGCGGCCGCCTCCTCCTGCCCCCTCCCCCGCCCCTCCGCGCACACCTCTTGGTGCAGATTGCAAAGCGCCTTCCGTTGGAGAGCTGCAGATTTTGCAAGAGCCAGGCTCGCCCACCTTGTAGAAGCGCCTTGTGTCCCCTCGTACCCTCGGTTGCAAAGAACCAGCTGCCAGATTTGGTCACCTCCCTCAGGCTTAGACTGCATGGTCTCCGGGGAACCTCTGGAGTTACACGTTTCTGCACTGAGGACCGCGAATTCCCGTTGCTCCTAGAATTTGCAGTGTTCTGAATACTGGAGATTTGCAGCTCCACTCGTCCGCCGCTGGACAGACTGCTCACCCGAACCCCAGGAGTGTGCCGCTGACGGACAGGCCAGCTTTCCACCGCTCCATGAGCCCGTGAACCTGGGGGCAGGTGCCCGGCGATGGCGCGGCCCGCGAGCGACAGGACCCCGGCTCCCCTGCTGCTGGGCGGCCCAGCCGGGGCCCCGCCTGGCGGGGGAGCGCTGCTTGGGCTGAGAAGCCTTCTGCAGGGAACCAGCAAGCCCAAAGAGCCGGCCAGCTGTGAGTTCTAGCCTCCCATTTCATCCAATTTAGAGCCCCCTTAGGGAATCTGGAGTAGTTCACCCAGCCTTTATCCACTCCATTACTCCGGTGTTTAGCCCCTAGATCGCTTAACAGTTAGGACCCAAAAAGTGCTGGCTCTCAACCCGGCCTACCCCAGAGAACCTAGGATTGCAGGCCCCTAGCTCCGCTCCCCTCTCTTTCTTTTGGTTCCGGGAGTGTGGACCTGGGGTCCCGGGAGGAGGGAGGGGGTGTGTCGGGTGCTCACACGGTGGTGACACGGGCTGGGGCGGGACCTAGTGGGGTCACATGGGACCTAGGAGGAGGAATGTGCCCCTTCCAGAGTGGGGGAAGGGGGAGGAGAGCTACGCAGGGGGGCGTGGGGGGCATTTCGGAAGAATAACAGAGCTGTCATTTTTTTTCCCTCACCTGCCCAACCCTTCACCTACCCTGTCTGTGACCCCCTTCCTCCTGGATTCTCGTCATCGTTTCTCTGGGTCTCCTCTCCACTCTGGGCCTCTGCTCCCATCTGTCATCTCTGTTCTCCTTTTCTGAGTCTCTGTCCCGATACCACTTTTCATCCCTTTCTCCTCCCTCCCCCACCCCCGGTCTCTGTCCTTTTCTCTCTCTGGGTCTGCCCTGCCCCCCCATTTTCCCACTCGGTTTGTCCACTCTTTCTCTGGATCCCCGTGTATCCACGGTGTGGTTCTCTCGGACTTCGGGCCTCTGCTTTCTCTTTTCCTTCCTCCACCCCGTCCCGTCTGGCCCGCAGGTCTCCTGAAGGAGAAGGAGCGCAAGGCGGCTCCGCCGACGGCCACGGCCCCCGGGCCGGGCCTGGAGTCCGCGAGCCCGGCCGATGCCCCAGCTGGGGCGGTGGTGGGCGGCGGGTCCCCGCGGGGGCGCCCGGGGGTCGGGCCTGGCCCGGGTCTGTTGGCGCCGCTGTTGTGGGAGCGGACGCTGCCGTTTGGCGACGTGGAGTACGTAGACTTGGACGCCTTCCTGCTGGAGCACGGGCTCCCACCCAGTCCGCCGCCTCCCGGGGGCTCGTCCCCGGTGCCCTCGCCCGCGTGCACCCCAGCGCCCTCCCCGGGACCCGGCTCCTGTGGCTCGGCCTCCCCCCACTCCTCGCCTGGGCACGCCCCCGCCCGGGCTGCCCTAGGGGCCGCGGGCGGCCACCGCGCAGGTGCGGCGGGGCCCTGGGTGGGCGGAGCTTGAGGTCCAGAGGGCGGGCTGAGAGTCGCCAAGCCTGTGGGATTTGGCTGCGGACCAAATTCTGGGTCCCCCCACCCCAGTTGAAAGGAAGGAGCATTAGGGGTGCAGCGGTTAACCAAAAGGTCAGCAGTTTGAATCCACTAACCCCTCGGAGGGAGAAAGATGAGGGAGTCTGCTTTCTTAAAGATGACAGCATTGGAAACCCTATGGGGTATTTTTACTCTTTCAGATTTGCTGTGAGTTGCAATCCACTGGAGGGCAGTGGGTTTGGTTTATGTTCTTGGTTAGTCGAAATAATTAGTTGGTTAGTTGCCTGAGGAGCCATATTTTGTGTTATTTTGTGGACTATTATCAGGAAGTGGCAACAATGAGCCCAAATACAGCAACTATCGTGAGAATGGCGCAGGACGGGCTTCTGTTGTACAGGGGATCGCTTTGAGTCGGAAGTGATTCAGTGGACACTTAACAAGAGTGGACCAGGGACTTGGTCTCCAGAATTCCGAAGGGAGGAGGAACTTGGGGCTCCAAATGCCAGAAACCCGTCCGGTGGGGAGATAGTGTGGATATTTTCTATGGAACGTGGGGACCTAGGGTCCGGATACGCGTGGAGGCGGGACTGAGAGCCTGGAAGGCTGCTGTTATTTATTTGGAAGTAGGCGGCCAAATAAATCAGAGGCCCTCTACTGGAGAGGCCAGGACTGGGGGCACTGACTTCTAGTTCCCCAGGACAGGAAAGGGTAGCAGCCCCAGGTCAAGACACCCTGTCCCACCACCACACACCATTGGAGAAGAGCTGTGCCTGGACTCTGGACGCTTTCTGAGGGGGCAAGAACCCAAGACGCCCGGAAGAGAAGGGATCGCAGAATCCATAGTACCCCAGTGACTAGCGGGTTAGGATTCCGGAGAGGTTCTAAAGTGTTCCCCAGAAAGCAAGAGGCCAGCATCCTTGGAGATTGAGAAGTGCTAATTGAGAGCCCTAAGGAAGGAAAAGGAAAAGTCGGCCTCGCGCGGGCACCAGCGGCCGGCTGCAAGTCAGGGGTTGTTGGGCACACCTGTCCTGTGTCCGACCTGTGAGCAGCTACAGGCCCCTCCCCTTCCCAACCGCACATTCCCTTGCCACGTGAGTCCTCCCCTTCTTCCTCCTTGATTTGCGCAGGCGCGGTCACGCGGGGAGGAGGCGGGGTCTGGAGAACGTGAAGGCGCCTGGGGAGGGGGCAGTGTGAAGGAGAGAAAAAGCAGGCGCTGGCACGTGACTCGGCCTGAACCTGTGTCCTCAGCTGGCCCTGTCTTGCTTTCTCTTAAAGGGATAGGCACCTCCTCTTCAACCAAACTTCTAGAACCTGAGGCGCCTCCTCTGCACTTTGTTAACCCTCTGGAGGGAGTAGCTCCTAGATTAACTAGAGGTCTTTTTAATGAACTCAGTTCCTTTTTCCTGAACAGCCTGGGCTTAAGGCTGCAGGCTGGGTTCCGGTAAGAAAGAAATAGGCATGAGGTATTAAGACCAAGAACCCTGTGCATGTTATTTAATGCATATCAGAAATGCCCTGGCCTCAGTCTCCGGGTGTGTGAAAGTGGAGTTTGCTCCGTGATTACTAAACATCTTTGTGATTTAGGAAATTTTCGTATTTGATATTAGGGAGATTGATGATCCCTGACACACCAGGAAGGCTGTTTTTTGTGGTTGAGAAGGATGAGTATTAAACATGAGCAGGTGGGTGTAGGTGCTGGGAACCCCCTCCTGCAATTAACACTGAGGTGATGCATTCTGTTTCCTCCAGACCTGAGCTCTCGGGACACACCTAGCCCTGTGGACCCAGACACCGTGGAGGTGCTGATGACCTTTCAGCCGGACCCAGCTGATCTAGCTTTGTCCAGCATTCCTGGCCATGAGACCTTTGACCCACGGAGACATCGCTTCTCAGAGGAGGAACTTAAGCCCCAGCCTATCATGAAGAAGGCGAGGAAGAACCAGGTGCCAGAAGAGCAGAAGGTGAGCACAGATGGAGGTGGCACCCAGTTTGGGCCACGATGGTCCTCCTGATTTGGGCTTCTCATGGACTTTTCTCAGAAGTTTTTCTAATCTACATCCAAGGACCAGCCCTCCTTAGCCATGGAGCACAAGGAGGTAGGCTTTCTGGACTGAGATTTATGAAGATCGATCTTTATGGCAAAAGTCCCTGAGTGGCACATCTAGTTAAGTACTCAGCTGCTGAGAGGTTGGCAGTTTGAACCCATCCAGAGGTGCTTCGGAAGAAAGGCCTGGTGATCTGCTTCTGAAAGGTCACAGCCTTTAAAACCCTGTGGACTGCACTTCTGCTGTACAACATGTGGGGCTCCATGAGGCTAGCTGTGCAGTGCTGGGAGCTTCTCTCATCTGGACATCAGAGTCTTACAGGGGCAGGCTTGACACTATACCAGAGCCCAGTTGCTAGGGTCTCAGCCCGTCTCTGTGGCTGGGTCTTCGAGCTCTGCTTTGGGGTGCCTTTGGATTGGCTACATCTCCCTACAATGCAGCCTTTGCTAGTCCCTCTAAGTATTGCTGACTGGGTTCTCATTGGCAAGAGGCCTCAGGTTCTCCTTAGCTGCCACATTCTGATTAGGGGTCCTTTGGGCTGGGACTGGGAGTCCCTGTCAACAGGTTAACGGGTTGAGTCTACCTAGAGGAACCTGAGAAGAAAGGCCTTTAGCAATCTAACAACAACAACAACAACAACCCCCAAACCCCACTGCCACCAGGTCATTGCTAACTCCGAGAGATCTATAGAACAGAGTAAAGCTGCTCTTGACATTTTCCAAGACTGCAAATCTTGATGGGCGCTGACAGCTTCACCTTTCTCTCACTGAGCAGCTGGCAGATTTGAACCCCTGATCTTGTGATTAGCATTCCAACACTGAACCCATTGTGCTACCAGGGCTCCTTTTGCAGTCTACTTCTGAAAAGTTAGTCATTGTAAACCCCATGGAACACGAGCCGATCAGACACAAACGGGGTCTCAGTGATTTGGAATTGACTCAAAGGTCAATTCATTTTGGGCAGTGACTGCATGCATCCTTCTAGTGTCTCTCTGCCAGTTTTAGGGTCTCCCCTAGCAAGCTCCCTCACAGCACTTTTTCATACCCTTGTGTAAGACGCAATCTTGTAGGCTACTGGCTTCTCTGGCTGCAGGAGCCTGTTGCTAGGGAGTTGATTTTCCCTGGCAACCAAGAACTAGGCTTTCATTAAATGGGGGGAGAGGAGACAGCTTTATAAACTGGGTGGGTCTTGTTACTAAGGAGTGGTCCTCCTCAGCTACTAAATCCCAAGACTGGAGAACCCTAGGCCTAGTGCTGAACATAAAACTCAGGCTGGGTCCTTTGGTAAGGGGTGGCTATTCAACCAGGGCCTGTGTGGAGGAGGCGGATACCTGGCCCCAGTTCAAGGCCAGCAGGTCAGAGACTGGCAGCAGTCACTTAGGCCTTACCTTTTGTTTGCTGAGGAAGGATGGGTTGTTTTGGCAACCAAGGTCAAAAGTAGCTCAGTTCTGGGAGGGTTTTATGAAACACCAGACCTTACTGTTAGAGGACCTAGGTCTTCCTAAGTAATCACAATATGGAAAAATATATAAACCCGAACTCCATTGCCAGCTATTCAATTCTGATTCACAGTTACCCAACAGGACAGAGTGGAGTCCTGGTGTGGCACTGTGGGATAAAGCACTGGACCGCAAGGTCAGTTTGAACCACAAGGTCGGTGGTTCAACCTCACAAGCCACTCCTTGGAAACCCTATGTAAGGTTGCTACGAATTGGAACCAACTCGACAGCACGTAACAACAGAACAGAGTAGAACTGTCTCATCTTTTATCCTGCAGAGCAGCAGGTGGATTTGAACTGCTTGCCTTTGGGTTAGCAGCCAAGTTCGTAAGCACTTCACTTCTTATATGATGAAAGATGTTAAGTGCTGTTGAGTCAGTTTTGACTCGTAGTGACCCTGTAAGGTGTTTGCAAGGCTGTCAATCTTTGCAGGAGCAGAAAACCTCTTCTTTCTCCTGAGGAGTGGCTGCTGGGCTCAAACCTTGGACCTTGTGTTTGGAAGTCCAATGTTTATTCTCCAGAGGTACCATACTTCCCATGTAAAAGTATGTTATTGTTAGGTGCTATCCAGTTGGTTCCAACTCAGAGTGACCCTGCATAGAGTTTCCAATGGGTGGCTGATGGGTTTGAATCAGTTAACAGTCTAGTACTTATCCCACAGCGTCACACCAGTACCCCAAGTGCCATATTGTTAAGTGCTGTCTAGTTGGTTTCGACCCAGAGCGACCCTATATAGGGTTTTTGAGGAGCAGCTAGTGAGCTTGAACCACTAAACTTGTGGTTCAAACTGACTTTGCAGTCCAGCGCATTAATCCACAGCACCACATCAGGACTCCATGTGATGTATGTTGTTGTTGTTGTTAAGTGCAGTTGAGTTGGTTCCGACCCATAGCAAACCTGTATAGGGTTGAACCACCAACCTTGCAGTTCAAATGGCTTTGCAGTCTGGCGCGTTAACCCACAGCGCCACACCAGGACTTCATGTGATGTATAGGGCAGTGGTTTTCTACTTTTCATTGGGAGAAGCACTCAGACTTGCCTGTTGCTAGGGAACAAGCATCCTTAGCAATCGAGCCTTTTGTCAGTGGGAAAGGCCCAGTTGCCTTTTCACTGTGCTAACTCGAAGCTGGGTTGCTTGGGGGTGAACTAGCTCCTGCTTCAGCTGTTGCTAGGGGCCTAGTGGGACAGCCTCTCCGGTGTTCTTTCCAACCCATTGCTGGACTAGAAGTCTTGTTGTTACGGATCCTGGAGTCGATTCCGACTCATAGCAACCCTGTATAGGGTTTCCAAGGAGCAGTTGGTGAGCTTGAACTGCCAACCTTGTTGTTGAAATCAACCTTGTCCAGAATATTAACCTACGTCACACCAGATGCCTAGAAGCCTTGTTAATGTGTGCTGTGGAGTTGGTTCTGACTCATACTGACCCTGTATAGGGTTTCTGAGGCTGTAAATCTTGACAGGAGCAGAAAGCCTTATCTTTCTCCTGCGGAACAGCTGGTAGTTTCGAAGCCTTACGTGGTCTCTTGTATGGGAGGGTCTTTGTCCCTCCATGGACCCTGACCTCACAGTGTCCTCTTTCCCCTGCTTCTAGGATGAGAAATATTGGAGCAGGCGGTATAAGAACAATGAAGCAGCCAAGCGTTCCCGCGATGCCCGACGGCTTAAGGAGAATCAGATCTCCGTGCGGGCGGCCTTCCTGGAGAAGGAGAACGCCCTTTTGCGTCAGGAGGTGGTGGCGGTACGCCAGGAGCTGTCTCACTACCGCGCTGTGCTGTCCCGATACCAGGCCCAGCATGGGGCCTTGTGAGACTACGACCCCACCACGCGGCGGTGGCACCCTCTCCACCTCGTTCAAGACTTGTGCCCTGATGCCCTCTTCCCTCCCCGCCCTGTGGCCCTCGGACTGGGTCAGCTGGGTGCCCCAGGGACTTGACATTGCAGATAAATACATTTATATTTTTAAGAAAAAGCGAGCCTCCCCCCTCCCTCGTGGGGGCGGGGAGGGTGCTGTGTGTGTGCCCCTGTCCCACGGGGGGGACCCCAGCCTCCCACCGCCTCCGTTAACTCGATCCTGAATAAATCTTGAGAACCCAGAGCCAGCTGTTGTGGGGGAGGAGGCAGCTCCAGGTCCTGTCTCAGGGCCCGGTGGGTTAGCAGACCCACGGACAGCGGACCACCACAGGCAGGAGTTGCTTGCTGCAAATGCGCCTGCTCAAATCTGCCAGGGGCCGTGGGGTGGAGGAAAGGGCAAAGAAGGTCTGTGGGAAATGAAGCGAGCGTCTTTATTGCATAGACCTTTTCAATTGCTTTGAAGGCTGGGGACAGGAACCGGACACTTGTTGAGACTTAACACAGGGGGTGGGAGTTTCCCTGCTCACACCTGTAGGGTAGGGAATGTTAGTGCAAATAGGAACGCAGCGCGGGACCCGGGGAACCTGCCCCTCCCGGGCTAATCGACCAGTGAAGTGGAGGCACCAGAGTGGATAGGGCCAGACCCTGACGCGGACTGGTCAACTAAGGCCTCACGAGCCTGCCTCTTCTGGGTCCTGTCATGGAACCGCGTGATAGCTAGGCCCCACCCCTAGCGTACCTGCCCTCCGAGCCGGAAGTGGGAGGAGGATCTGGTTAGAGCCATACTGGGCCCCACCCTAGCCCGATAAGCCGTCCCCTCAGGGCGTAACCATTTGTCAGTCATGCCCACCCCTGGAATTCAGGCCACCCTTCAGCTCCATTTCGTCCTCAGGGGCAAATGCAATCTAGCGATGGGACCAGGGCCCGGGCCTTCCACTCTAACTCTTAACAGGTAGACCATGCCCCCAGCTCAGAACCCCAGCACATTGGAATGTAGGCCCCGCCCTCAGCGGGCCCCAGGCTCCCTGGGAAGCTCAGGGAACGCCTCCTGGGAGGCCAGGTGGTCCCGTGAGCAGGGTCGCCAGTCCGGGGTGCATCTGCGCCTGCATCGGCCCATATTCCACCAGCTCACCGTCTACGGTTAGCAGGCCGCGGGGCGTCAGGGGCTCGAGGCGGAAGGCATGGGCCGCGGCATAGCCCAGTTGTGGACAGCCGAGGCCAAAGTGGCTACCACGCTCCATGGCCAGGAAAAGGCGTAACAGGGTGGCCCGTGAAATGCCACCACGCACCCAGCATAGGTGAACCAGGCCGTCATCAAAGCGAGCGTGTGGGGCTGCCACCATGTCAGCACCCAGGTGACTAGGCGAGATGGCCAAAAGGAGCACAAAATCGTCTTCCATGGTCACCCAACCAGAGGGCAGAGGCATGCCTAAAGGCGGCAGTAGGTGATCAGGTGGGCCGCAGCTTGAGGCAGCTGCCTGAGTGTCATGGTGGGGAGGTGGGGCCTCAGTGGGCACCGGAATTTCCTCTGGGGCCCCTTTGGTAATGGGTGATGGGACAGCTCCTCTGGGGGAAGAAGGGGGTGAGGGCAGCAGTGGGTCTGGGGACAGTGGAGCATCCCCAGCCCCACCCCAGTCCCTGGTTAAATCAGGGCCACCACCATTGAGGGACAAAGTAGGCAGGGGGTCAGGTGAGCCAGGGGATGTCAAGCCAGACTGGGGAAGAGGCAGGGGCAGGTCAGAAACAGAGCGGTGCAGGGGTGAGTGGGACATGGGCAGCGATGGCTCAGGGGCCAAGGTCAGCTCCGACTTGGCCCGGGGCAGGCCATGTGCAGGTGTGGGCCTGGGTGAGGTGGGTTCCCCAGTGGCAGGCAGATAGGAGAGACGTCCTCGGTAGGTGTGCAGCGTGGCGAGGCCCAGTACCGTGCCCAGAGTGAAGCGGGCACTGCCAAAGGCCCGGAAGCGTTCACTTTGGATGTCTACATCAGACACAAAGCCCCAGGCCACGGACAGAAAGGAGAAACAACGGGAGCCTGAGGCCAACGTCACGGAGAGCAGGTCCAGTGGACGGCCACCACCCCGGCAGAGCAGCAGTGAACAGTTGAGCAGAAGGTCGAGGCCCAGGGCTGGCGCAAACCTTCACAGCCACAAACAAGGTGGGTGACACCCAAGGGAGAAGGAGAGAGCAAATGGGGGCGGGTAAGAGACATACTGTTCAGGCCTGGGGTAAAAGACAAGCTGGGCGGGAAAACCTGTTACTTGGGGGGTGGAGGGGCAGCCCCCTCCAGATGAACCTGTCCTGTTGTTCTATTCACCCAGTGCCTACTGTGCCAGGCACAGTTCAAGGACACAGACAGGAGACAACATCTGGGACTGGAAGGCTCTATCTGGACTGAGGGCGGTGATGTAGAGGCTGGTCTTGACTGGTGTCATCAAATGGGTTCTGAGCCCTTGGGACCCCATGTGACAAGATTAGAACCACCCTTTAAGGTTTTGCTAGGTTGTGACCTCTTGGAGCAGATCTCCAGGGCTGCTGGATGAGTTTGAACTGACAAGACTTTGGGCAAGCAGCTGAGTACTTAACCATTGCACTATCAGGCAGATGTACCAGATCCTTATTCCCTGGACATAGCCCTCCCTCCCTAGCTCCTTAGCTTCAGAAGGCAGCAGGAGCCGCAGCACGGAGACCTGACCTACCCCCCATGCTGGTTCACTGCTCCGGCCAGTGCGTTGCCTGAGCCGCATGGGAGGATGCCCACAGGTGTCTTCACAGCTTCCTCCCAGTCAGGGCGATCCAGGAGCCCATTCAGCACCTGCAGGGTGGGAGACCAGCCTCCTGGATCCTGGTCCTGGTCTCTGGGATCTCCAGGGGCGCAGGGCGCAAGGCGGGGTGCTCCTGTCCTACCTCATAGAGCAGCCCGTCTCCGGAGAGCGTGACGATGCCGTCCCACTCGCTTAGGCTCAGCCCCTGGACCAGCTCCCTGGCATGGTTCGGCCGCTCTGAAGTGGGAAGCCAGTGGGTTCCAGCCCTTAACCACCCTATTCCAAGACCCAGGAGACCCATCTCCCATTATTCCCCCAGGACTGATTCGAGCACTTTTACTTTCTCTCTGTGGACCCAGCAGACCTGGCCTTGCTCCGTCCCCCACTCACCTGTCTGTATGAGGTTGAAGGACAGCCCTGCTTCTGAGATCATGGGCAGCACGTGGTTCTTACACCACTGCCAGGCTAAGCCGCGCCCCCCAAAGGGATTGACCAATAGGAGTAAGCGGGGTGACCTGGGCAGCAGTTCAGGGCTGATTTCTGCAGAGAAAAGAGGGGGTGGTGGTATCGAGTCTTCTGGGAATTGTTTTCCTTCCAGTCTGAGCGCACCTGGCCAGGCTCAGGTATACAGGGCCTCCCACCTTCCCTCCCTCTCTCAGGTGCTGAAACAAAGGTTTGGTAATCCCAGAGCCCTTGAGCTCCTGGCATTGGAAGAGGTGCAGTTTCTACTGTGCTCATCTGAAGACCAGGATGCCAGGAGCAGCTTACTGCCCTGAGGCCCTGTAGGGCCTGACGGCTTCCAGACAGTCAGCAGGACCCAGAAAGGCCCACGAGCTGGAGACCACGGACTATCCTTCCTGCACCAACTAAGGATCCCAGAGGGGACCTAGGCCAGGAAGCCTTCTCTGACCCTCCCAGGTGGGAGCCAGGGCCACCCCGGCATGGCTCTTTAATAACTGTCACCCTGGGTGGAAGACTTTATCAGTCTTCTGCCTCAACCAGTCTGATGGCCTCTAACTCATTTGGGTTCAAGACCCTGGAAGAAGGGAGAGAGCAGGGGTCTGGCAGGGGCAGCAGACAATCACTTCCCTCTGCCTGCCAGCTGCTACCAAGTCGATTCCAGTGTGTGCAGAGTAGAACCGCACTCCAGAAGGAGGTTGTCAAGGCAAGGTCCTTTTGGAAGGAGATTGCCACCCTGTCTTCTGAGTCACCTCTGGGTGGGTTTAAACCACCAACCTTCCAGCTCTGAGTGAGCACTTAACCATTTGCACCACCCAGGAGGGACACTCTTTTGCTCTTTCTGGAAGCCACCTCTGTCTGCATCACCCATTCAGCCAGGGACCTCATGCACATACATAAAGGGAGTCCAGCATCTCACCCCCATCCCCAGGCAGTGGCAGTCCACGAAGCAGGCACGTGAGGGTGGTGGCCCAGCGTAGGGCCTCGGTGCGGTTCTCCTCATAGGCAGTTGCCCCATCGGCCCGGAAGGTACGTGTGGCTCTGTGCCGGGCTCCACGCCGGCCCCGGGGGTAGGTGTAAATGCAGAAGTAGGCAGCGGGGTCTGAGGGACTGCGGCTGCGCAGGGTACAGCAGCCCGAGACATCAGCCAGGGGGACCAGACCACCCCGGGGCCGGGCTTCAGGTTTTGGACGCAGTCGTTGGACATGCAGAGCCTGCGATGTCAGGGTGAGGGCAAAGCGGGGGCCGCGGGCCGGGTAGGATCCAAACTCTCCATGCAGGAGTGGGGTGCTAGCTGACGGGAGTGGCGCTGGAGGGGCCATGGCTTTGGCCCTGTCCAAGGTACTCCAGATCAGCTCCAGCCTCTGTGGGGAGGGAGGAAGACAGAGGTTAGAGTCTAGGACCCCTAGGATGTGGAATGGGAGGGAGGGAGGGAGTGGCAGGGCCTGTGGATAAGAGAATATGGCCACCAGCAGGTGTGATTGGACCAAGAGAGAAACAGACCCAAACAGGAAAGCATTCCTTCACTTGGTTAGGATGCCTCCATCTGACACTTGGGATACAAACTGTGGGGAACAAAACCACATAAAATTCCTGCTCCTCTGGAGTTTACATTCTTAAGGGATGGCAGAGAAACCAGATGCAGAAATACAACCTACAGTGATCATGTTAGAAGATGATGAAATTTTTGGGGGCGGAAATAAGGCAGAGGAGCAGGTTCAGGATAGAGGAGATACAAGCAGAAAAAGCCATGCCAGGAGAGAAACACACACTTCTATCCCCCCTTCCCCCAGAGGGGAGAATAACAAGGGAGAGGGACTCAGATCCAGGAAAGAGCATAGGTCTGTGAGGCAGAGGAACACCTAGAAGGAGATGTTCAGCCACCACAGGATGAAAGCCAGATTGCTGGGAGGAGTGAAGCATTTAGGAACTCCAGGAGACTAAGAGTCAGAAGCCCTTGGGACAAAATTAGGAGGGAAAAGGCAGAGAAGGGGGTGGGGGGGGCGGTAAGGAACAAAGGGAGATTGAGAAAGGGCTGGCTCAGGGGCCAGAAAGATAGTTTACATGCAGGCAGCTTCAAGGGGCCCAGAGCTGGCCCCAACACTGACCTGGTGTCTGGCGGTCTGTTTTCCAGGGAGGAGGTAGGAGCCGAGATTGTGGTCCCCTCCCTGGAGGCCCGCCCGCCCGGCAATCCCTGCACTCTGCCCAGCTTCTGATCCCACCTCCTTTGTCTTGCTCACCTTTGTCCCCCACTGCCCCACCCAGCCACCCTCATGGCCTAAAGCACATTCCCAGGGCCTAGAGGTTGTGGCCCCAGGCACACCCCCATCTAAAGCACACTCAGGGGTATCTGCCTCTGCCCACCCTCACCCACTTCTCAGGCACAGATGCCAGATCTAATCCTGGACCTGAGTCTTTGTCCCTTGAGTACACAGACTGTCCTGGTCCCCCAATTTCCCCTGCTACCCCAGAAGTGAGCCTGGGCTTCCATCTCTAGGTCCCTGACTCTCGTGTCCGGTTCCTGGGATTCCATCCCCACCCCATTTACAGAACCCTAGTTCCCTCAGTCCCGTCTTGGGATTCCATCTCCACTCCCCACCCCAGTCCCAGGCCGGCGGTCTTTGTTCCTCTGGGTCCTTCAGTACTCCCCGACACTCGGGCCCCAGGCTTGACCCCCCCGCACCCTCCTCACATGCCAGGTCCTCCTCCAGGCGGCCCTTTGAGTCAACACCAACCACCCCATCAGACCTAGGGGTGGGGGGGGGAGGGTGTGCTCGGCTCAGCCAATCGCTGAATAGCCGGCTTGAGTAAAACCAATGAGTGAACGCGGGGGCGGAGCCAACCAACTCGGGAGCTTGACGCAGGGGCTGGCCGAGGGATAGACAACCGGAGAATAGGCGAGGGGGGGGTATCCCCTCTCGCGAGACAGGCCGTCATCTTAAGTGAGGGTAAACACGCAGTAGGGGAGGCGTCAAAGCCTCAAACCCACTCCCAACGCCGCCATCTTTGTCAAGGGCTCGTGAGCCCAGTCCCATCTCTAGAGTTCTACTAAAAAGAAGAGACATGAAGGAAAGAGGCTTTACGCCTGACAACATGGGAACGCAACAACAAAACCATAGAGACATGCAAAGGAGTAATAAAACCCAGGGATCCAGCGAAGCAGAAACTTTGAGAAGCAAAAGAAACAGACGCAGACATATGACAAGAGACTTAGAGAAAGCAGAAACGCAAACAGAGACGAGCGCCAGTGAGTCACAGGAAACCCAGAAAATGACTGACACCCCTGGAATGAAAACCAGGGAGGAGAGGCTCATTAATTCACAAATTGCACTGGCCTCAAACCAGAGTGGCATGAGATAAGCATCTGCCCAGTGAATGACCCAGTGGCTTGCCTTTCTATACAGATACAGAACAGGGATGCGGTGAGAGACTTTCAAGGGGGTGGGGAAGGGCTTGCAGGGAGAATGTTGGAGGCCCAAAGGCTGAGAGAGGCCGAGACCTGGAAAGACAGAAAGCAAAGATGTTGACAGAGCCACACACAAAGGCCTAGTAAGAATGAAAGGGAAGCAAAGGAAGGTGATGGCGGGAGATGCAGAATTAGCACTGCAGAGAGATGAAGAGACAAGTGGAGGAAGAAGTTCATTTCTTGCCTAGTAATGCACTTTCCAGTCAAGCTAGCGTAGCAACAACCATCCGTTGCTGTTGTATCAATTCCTGGTGAGTACAGGCATGTCAGGAGAGCTGCGCTCCATAGGGTTTTCGATGGTGGTGCTGCTTCAGAAGTAGACTGACAAGCACCTCTGCCTCTGGGTGGATGTGAACCGCTAACTTTTCAGTTCGTTGTTGCACCAGTTAACCATTTGTGCCACCCTGAGGCTCCTCCACAGTTACAACAGTAAGTGATATGTGCCAAGGAAGGCCTCAAAGAGTGAGGGGCAGAAATGCAGTGAAATGAAGGGGTAGACACAGCCTCAGAACTTGGGGCCCTGGGAGAGAGCAAGGCAGAGACACCTATCAAATAAGCTGAGACTCAGATATGGAGACTAAGTCAGAGAGAAGAAGGCCCAGACAGGAGGATAGGAAAAGGAGATAGTGATGAGAGACTCCTCTGGGCCTCAACTTGTGAAAGGGGCGAAAGTGAAATCATCTACCTGGAGAGAAGGTTTGCCATAGAAGGACCTTGGATGATGTGGCCCCGAGTATTGCAGTCTTGGCTTTCAGATGTGCCCTTACCTGGTCCAACTGTTCCTCTGCTTCAAGAGGTCCATTCATTTGCTGGCTCTCTGTTCCGCTAGGACATCAGATTGACCCAGGCCCTGATCTGCGGCCACTGCGATTGGGGACACAGCAGGGAGAGGAAGGAGTCAGGCCCCAAGATGATTCGGGGCTGGTCTTTGCCTCTGCAGATGAGAGGTGCAATGAATAGGCCCATCGAGGGCAGACAGGTACTTCCGGGCGTGCTTGAACCTCGGGGCAGAGCCTGCCTAAAGAAAGAGGAAAAGAGGGGCAGGTTAACCTCATGACTGGTCCAGCCAGTCCGTCTATAGTCACACACACTAAACATTTATTTCTTTTGAGCATTTATTTCACACGCAGCATTATCCTAAGCACTTTTATTAGCCCATAATCCTGGAAACCATCTGATGTGGTAATGCAGGAGGCCTATTAGCATCTGTTTTGCAGATTAGGAAAGTAAAGCCTAGAGTAGTTAAGTGACTAGCCGAAGTCACAATTAAAAAGCAGCAGAGCCAGGATATGAGTTTGGGTATGGGAGCAAGGCACTATCTCATATCTTTCTAGGCCTTTTCTTTGCTGGGCGTCCACCTTCCAGTTCCCCAACTCTGCCACCAGTGGATGCCCACCCCCGCCCCAATCTTTCTCCACTTTTCTAGGTCTTCCCCCGCTTTCTGGATCTTTTTTTAAATCGGTTTCCCATCTTTCCCTTCCCCATTTCCAACCTCCCCCACTCATTCACCAACCCAACCGGGACTTCAGTGGGCCTCCTCTGCCCACCATGTATCTCCCTCGCATCAATTCCCTCTGGGCCAGGTGAATCTCTCCGGCTGGGAGAAGCAGCCGCCAGAGGAGGAAGGCTGGGGATATTCAGGGAAGGACGATCTGGGAGTGGGGAGTAAAACCGTAAAGGTGGGAATACAGGTTGCTCTAGACGAGACTGCAGCAAAATCATTTCGAGTTAGACCTCAAGTAGGACCTCCTGACCTGCAGTCGCGCTTTAGGTGCAGCGCGAGATAAGGCAGAGGAGAGACAGCTCAGGAAAACGACCGAAGCTTAGGGTCAGAGGTTTTTCCAAGCCGGAACTAGCTCCACTTCCTCACCGCCAATTCTCAGCCGGCTGAGTCCTCCGGGAACCACTGAGAGGCCGCCGGCGTCAGGCCAGAGCGTCATCGCGCAACGCATCCTACTAGCTCCGCGCGACATCTCTCCGGCACCCCGATCCTTTTCTTCGGTAGGAGTATAGAGAACAAGGCCTTGTGAGGGCCAGAGAGGCCTCTGACGTGCTGGCCCTTCCTTCCGTGACGTAGCAATTCCGTCTCTTTGGTTATTCCTCCGGGACACACACAAAGAGGCCGGGTTGTGTTAGAGCGCCGCGTCGCGCTCGTGTGACGTCCTACGCGCTGCTCGCTGGACGCTTTCCCCGCCCACGCCGGCTCCGTTCGTTCTTTCCGGACCAGGCTGAGGAGGAGGCGCCATCATGGTGAGCGCTTCTGGCGGCCTTCGGGGCTTGGTCATCCATCGCCATCTGTTATGATCTCGAGTTGGGGGCCTGCCAGAATGGGGCAGGGGTGTCAAGGGTGACCAAAAGAGGCGACTCCCGACACGGGAGGGCTACTTTGAGGGTCTGGGGGCCCGGAATCGGTCAGGATAACGTCCGCTCTGGTCTCTCCCGCACCCTCGATATTAACACATTAAATAGATGACCAAACTGAGGTACGGAGAAATTAAGTAATATAGTCGGGCTCACATTCCACGAAGTGGTGGATCCAGAATTCGGGCCCAGGCGCTGGCTGCCATTCCCCTTGCCTGTCACTATAGAGTTGTGTTTTCTGGGGAGTCAAGAGCCGAGTGCCCGGACTCACAAGAACAGACGGGCTCCCATTGGATTCTAGGCTTTGCTTTCTAGTTCTGTGCCTCAGTTTCCTCATCTATCCATTGGGAACACAGTTCTGTTTCACGAATCTGTGAGTTTTGGAAGAAACAACACAGGAAGAGTGCATCTGTGAAAAGCAAGTCGTGTGAGGACCGAATTATTGACTTGCCCCTTGAAAACTCAGAAAAATAGGCAGTGTAGTGAGAATTGTAAGCTCTTTTCTGTTAGCTTGTAATGGGATAATATCACTACATAGGGTTGTTACTGTACAAAAATATTTTTAATGAAGTTAACTTACAGAGGATTCTTATTTAGAGTAAGCCTTAGGTTTAAGTGTTTTCTTGTTTTGGGGTGCCAGTGTTCCGAGAATTGACAATTTTCTGTGTGCTGAGGATTTTTTAAGTGGTCATTTGAGCCCAGGGGGTTTAAAGTGACTTGCCCAGAGGTCTGCTGGGAGTGGAGCTGGGATTTGAGCAATTGCCTTCAGAGACCTGGGCCCCAGCAGGTCTCTGGGGTGAGAGATCTACCAGATCCAGAGTCTATGGTCTGTCTCCATCCACACAGGGAGTTGACATCCGCCACAACAAGGACCGAAAGGTTCGTCGCAAGGAGCCCAAGAGCCAGGACATCTACCTGCGACTGTTGGTCAAGGTGAGGCTCGCCCAACCTAGAGCAGTGACTCCCATCGCACCCATTCTGCTGTGGGGACTGGGGTCTATGGGGTAAACTCAAACCTCTAATTATGTCCCTGTGCCCATAAATTCAAGAAGGCTTCAGTATTGTATTCAGCTGGGGATGGGTAAGGAAGTTCTGAGTCCTTGACAAGGAAGGACATGGACCCATTCTGCCCCTCACACTGGGCTGTGGGGAAAGTGTGTGGAGCTGTGCAGGGTACCCTACGAACCCTTTTGATCTGAGTCACTGTAATCTGCCCTTTCGTTGGAAAGTTGGGGGTACTGTTCATGTTCTCATGCCTCACTCTTCTCCAGCTGTACAGGTTTCTGGCAAGACGGACCAATTCCACTTTCAACCAAGTTGTGCTGAAGAGGCTGTTCATGAGTCGCACCAACCGGCCACCCCTGTCCCTTTCTCGGATGGTGAGGACTACAGAGAGGGCTTAAGGGTGGGTGGCCTGGGCAAGGGCAACTTTCCTGCACCCACTGGTGGATGCAAAGCTCTACCCTGTGGTTCTAGCAGAGTAGCCTCGACCAACAGCTTGGCCTTGTTTTAAACTTTAAAGGAAAAGTTGAAAGAAAAGACAGACATCCCCCATGACCATTTTCAAGTCCCCTCTTCTGTATGTCTTTGAAAAGCTCTCCTGTGGGTATTCAGTTTGGTGAACAGTTTGTGTTCAAGGTCTCATCTGCAGATCTCTCCACACCAGACCTGGGCTGAGTCCTGGCCTGTTCACAGGGTGGAATGGTTTAGCTTTGCTAGTGAGCATAACAGTCCTGGGCTTGGGGCGGGATTGGATTTAAACACCAGAAAGGACTGCTTCTCATCACCCTTTCCCCCAGATCCGGAAGATGAAGCTTCCTGGCCGGGAGAACAAGACAGCTGTGGTCGTGGGGACCATCACAGATGATGTGCGGGTTCAGGAGGTGCCCAAGCTGAAGGTGAGGGGTGGGGGCTCCAGGATACTGGGGTGCAGACCAAGTGTCCACTTCCTGGCTCTGCTGTGTGGCAGCTGCCGATCTGTCCAGATAGTGTGTGAGGTTGAGCATCCGGTGGTCAGTGGCCCTGGGCAAGCCCTTTGTGGGCCCAGGCTCCTGGCTCCTCTGATGTGGCTGGCAGTGCAGCTCTCAAGCCAGATTAGATTTGCTCTACCATCTGTCACCTCGGGACAAAGCCCTTCATCTCTGTACTCCATGTCGTTGCATGTAATAATGGGTTGGCCATTAATGTGACTTGAGGTGAATCTAGGTGTAAACAATCACTGCCCACTAACGAAGCCCCTGGGAACTGGGTTTGTTACCTGCCAGCCATGGTGGTGGGTAGTCAGTCAGTCCCAGCAGCCCCTGGGGCACCACACAATAATCGCTGACCCGTTTTGTTTTTGTCAGGTGTGTGCACTGCGCGTGAGCAGCCGTGCCCGGAGCCGCATCCTCAAGGCTGGGGGCAAGATCCTCACCTTTGACCAGTTGGCCCTGGACTCCCCTAAGGGCTGTGGGACTGTCCTGCTGTCTGGTGGGTGACACTTATAGGCGGCGGGTGGGGAAAGACATGAGAGGGAGGAGTCTGGCAGCATCCCAGCCTGTAGGAGATCCTGCCCCCAGCCCCCTGCCCCCGCCTTACCCACCTCTCCCCCACCGCAGGTCCACGCAAGGGCCGTGAGGTGTACAGGCATTTTGGCAAGGCACCCGGAACCCCGCACAGCCACACCAAGTGAGTACCAGGCGCCAGCCTCCCATGGACTCAACCTCTCCCACTTCCTCCCCACTCATAGTGAGGTGCTGAGCTCCTGGGAAGTGGGATCTTCTGGGCCTACATCTTGGGGCGCAGAGCCTGCACTTCTAGGCCACTAAGGCTCCCCATCAGCCACCCTGCTACCTCCACTGGGGTCATTCTCACTCTGCTCAAAGTCCGGTGTCCACCTCTAAACTGGCTCCCTCGCCTTCTTTTCTCCCCACAGACCCTACGTTCGCTCCAAGGGCCCGAAGTTCGAGCGTGCCAGGGGCCGGCGGGCTAGCCGAGGCTACAAAAATTAACCTCAGATTTTGCCCTGTTATTAAAAACATTTTAGATGCCAACAGACATCTGTGTGTTATTGGGGGGTAGGGGGAGTGCAATCTTCAGGTGAAAATGTGATTGAGGTGTGGGGTGGGGTGGGGTGGGGAGCGATTAGTGGATTCCTGTTCCCCCTCTCTATCCAGAGGCGCCCCCTGGTGGCCACTCAGCACAATCTGTGTCCAGACCCCTCCTGGCCCGCTCCACAGTCAACAGCACCGCCCTTTGGGAGCCGGGTGCACCCATCCTTGCATTCTCTGGTTGGCCACACCCACCCTTAGGGACCTGAGCTCCCCCTCCCCTGTGCTTAGGGCTGTGGGCAGGGTGTGGACCAGGAAGTGCTGGCAGGCCTGTGGTGGGGGGAGGGATGCGTGGGAACAGGTGTAGCTCCCCTGGGTCCAGGAAGTCAGTCCTCTAGTCCAGGAACCATGTGAGTGTGTGCTTCAGGGATTGGGACCCTCAGACCCTGAGTTTTCACGCACCCTTGCTGTTGGTCCTCCTGGTGTGTACACAAGGGGCTGGGTTCGCCGGATCCTAAGCTGAAGTGCAATGAATGAGGCAGCAGGCCAGAAGGGCCGAAGCGATCCAGACAGGTCAGTTGGTGGTGGCCGTCCACAGGAAAGGCAAGAGTGCTGGGGTGGGGGGATTAAGCTCTGAAGGGCAAAAGGTGTGGGTACAGGCTGGGTGAGTGGGTGGGGCACCGGAGGGAGGGCAGCCTGGCTCAATTTCACCTTTTCTTCGCAGGGCTTGTAGCACAGGCCTGAAGGAAGGCACTTTTCCAGGCTGCTGGGATTGGAAGGAGTGGCTCACAGTGGCCCTCAATCCAGGGCTTTGGTCAGAGATCACTGGGGGTCCAGGACAGCATATAGTCAACTGGCAGGAGATACTGGGGTTCAGGCAGAAATTCATGCTAGGTGGGGGTCAGCTTAGCCAGGGAGACAGCCAGGGCCATCTGGTCCAATAAAGGGTGGCTGGTTGGTCTTCCTGCTGCCGGTCAGTCAAGGACAGATTCCATAATGATGAGAATGGCCCTTTAACACCTCACCTGGGGCAGCCGGAGAATGTGTGAGCCTCCAGGGGAGCAGGAGCCCTGATCAACAGGGAGAGACTGACTAAGAGCAATCAGTGCTCTAGGTCTGAGAGAAGGTGCCAACCAGATAGCTAGCTGGCTGTGGCCGCTGATTGAAAAAACTGGTCAGCCAACTAGACCCAAGGAGACAAGACACCAAAATTGTCACTTACAAGCAATTGGTGTCAGTCCAAGAGGTAGTGGGAGAAGGCCAGTGATACGTGCTGGGGATGGTCAGGGGGCTAGGTACAGACATAGTTACTGCCTGGAGAATTGTCATGGCCATGCTTTAAACTGAGAATCCAATGACCAGCCAGCCAGAGTGTGCTCTGTGTCAGGCAAAGAGGCCAACTGATGGATGACACAGTTGGACACAGGGCCAAGCGGTCAGTCTGACCAACAGAGCCTGTCGTGGGGTCACCCAGACCTCAGGAACAGCAGGTGGTGGGAGGTGCAGTCTGCCACAGTGTAGCTGAGTCCAGCAGGCAGTTGATTTGTACAGTCTGAGACGTCAGGTGGTCAGTGTAGTAAGTGGGCAGGATAGTAACCGGGGAGCCATTTGGGCTTGGTCCGAGCCTCCCAAGGTCCTGCCTAATGGTCCGTCACCCAAAGACAACCAAACCCTCAGGGACCTGAGCAGACCACAATGGCAGCTTCCCAGCTGGCTGCACTGGAAGGCGTGGAGTCAGGGGCGGAGGGGCTGCCGTTGACTGAGGCCAGCTCTAGCTTCCTGTATGATGAAGGCCAGCGGCTGGCACTGGAGGCTCTGCTGAGTGAAGGCCAGGAGGCATTTGAGGCTTGTGTGCACCGCGAGGGACTGCGGCCTTTCCTGAGCACAGACGAGGCCCGGAGCCTGGCAGCCTCAGCCCAGGACTGGACAGCGGCCACACCAGAGCCCGGTGGGATGGCTGAGGGAGCTGCTGTCACCACCAACGGGACTTCTGCAAATGACAGCCTGACCTATTGGCCAGGCCAGACAGAGGAGCCCGCACCTATACTGAGACTGGGCTGGCCAGAGGACTCTACCTGGCGGGGTATCACCCGGGCCCAACTGTACACTCAGCCGCCGAGCGAGGGCCACCCGTCTCTCAAGGAGCTTGTGCGCCGTGAACTGCAGGCCGCCTGTAAGGTGGGTCTGTTCCCCATACCAAGCTCCCAGGATCCAGGCATCCATGGTCTCTGGACCTGGGGCATTCCCACCTTCACCCTCTCGGGAGCCTTCACATCTACCTTCTAGGTCCCAAGAGCCCACACCCCAGGACCTGGAGATCTACACCTCCCAGCCCCCTGGACTCAGGATTTGACATCTGCACCCCGTTAGATCTGAGTTTCTTATTCTTGTTCCAAGATCCTGGGGTTCTTAGGTGTCTGTGTCTCATACCTAACAGTGCTACCCTGGTCTTTAACCTATTCCACCAGGTCACCTTTCCCCCAGGGAAGGCTCAGGTGCCTCCCTGCCTCCCCCCAGACTTCAACATCAACAGTTAGTGTTAGACACCTCTGGCACCAAGAGCTTCAAGTGTGTTGGCTACTAATGTCTGTAAGCCTTAGAGACCCTGGGCAAGGCAAATGGTGAACATGTTTGGCTTCCAAGGCTGGCAGTTCTAGTTTACCCAGCGGTCCTTCAGAAGAAAGGTCTAGTGATCCATAGATCCCTGAAGCCAGCTCTCCAGTACCAGGGGACTTTCTTAGTTCTCTAATAGTGCTGTAACAGAAATACCACAAGTGTCTGATTATAACAACCAGAAATGGATCCTCATAGTTTAGGAGGTTAGAAGTGTGGATAACAGGCTCTAGGGAAAAGTTTTTTGTCTTTGTTGGCTCTGGGGAAAGATCATTGTTTCCTTTCAGAATTCCCAAGATCTCCATGCTTCTTGGCATCAATCTCCCCCTGGAGCTTCACAGTGTTGGGACCCCCAGGGCCAAAGAATGCCCTCCATTCCTGCTGCTGCTTTCTTGGTGGTAGCATATCCCTCTAAGCTCAGCTCACTTCTCTCCTTTATATCTCAAGAGATTGAGTCAAAATACAACCTAATCCTGTAGATTGCTTTGGGCTTCATGAATGTCACAGAAGTTAGGGTTTGCAACACTTAGGCTAACTCTCAGATTGCAGCTGATCCCAGATCACATCAGATCAGGTCTCCACTTGAGATCTTTAGTCTTAACTGCTAAACCACTCAGAGGAATCTTGTGTGGCACTGTAGAATAAGCATTGGACTGTTAACAGTTAGGTTGGTGGTTCAAATCCAACAGTCTCTTCTCAGAAATCCCTGCTTGCGGGCTGCTGTACAAGGCCCGTGAAATCATTTGGTCTGGCCCTACCAAGGCAATGGTAGTTCCAACCATCACATTTGTTGTTACTAAGTGCGGTCAAGTCGGTTCCAACTCACAGTGACCCTGTATGGGGTTTCTGAGAAGAGGCTGGTGAGCTGGAAGTAACAACCTTGCGGTTGAAACCGACCTTGCAGTCCAGTGCACTAACCTGCAACATTGTTGTTGTGCCATCGAGTCGATTCCGACCCATAGCCACCCTGTACAGGGTTTCCAAGGAGCAGCTGGTGAGCTTGAAC